AAGATACTTCTTATTCACTTATTTACTAATAATTCATGGAGAGTAGTGATCCTGACTGAGTTCTGGGATATACCACAGAGCTACTATGACATATTATCAATCATTGGTTTGTCATTGTTGGGATGAAAATATTAGCATCAGGACAGGGATTACTAAGTCTGGGCTAGCTCTAAGTATGTACAGGGCGGTTTTTAATTCACAGCAGCTCCTTCAAGCAGTTACTGGAACTTTGTGTTTGTGTCTCCAGGTCAACAACGGGCCAGTTGTGAGTCACCCCCAGGGCCTGGGAATGAACCCGGCTCCTGTTGGATTCAAGTGTGTATTTCAAACATAAATGCAAACAAACACACAACTGTGAGCCTCTGTTTGTATCTTCAAACCCACTTCTTCTGTCATCTAATGTGTCTGCCTGATTGTTTCTATATAGAAATGGAGTGATGGTTTATGGGGCACCAACCTTTACAGCTCCTCCTGTTGCTTCTGATGTACCTGTAGTAAAGGCCCAAGCTTCAAAGTAAGACCACTGCTTCATTATCTTTGGCTGTGACCCAAAATAAAATCACAGTCACCTTATATGTCTATTTATTATCTATGTACTTTTATCCTTCTTTTTTACCCAGTGAAAATTCATGCTCTCCCTCTGCTTTGCTGATTTCCAACAGAAAGAAACGGTGTTACACAAAGTCACACGACGAAAGCAAGCCGTACATCAAGAAGCCCCCGAACGCTTTCATGTTATTCCGCATGGAACTGAGGCCAAACGTTGTGGCAGAGCTCCAGACCTCTGAATGTGCGACTGTCAACAAAGTCATTGGACAGAGAGTAAGTGTCTTTGCTCTGTATGTTTGAAACTCCACCAGTTTGACAAAAGATTAAAAATCTTTCTGCCACCAGGCACTGTCGAAGACAACACTTCGCACATTTTCAATTGTTCCTCTAACTAGAATTCTTGACATCTTAACAGTAACGTTTGTGTTTGTGAATGATTTTTATTTACTGTGACGTGACCAGTAAACAAATCTAAATTTGAAAAGAGCATTTTCAGCATTTTGTGGGTGGTTTCATTGCAGAGCCTACACCTGTTGATGTGGATCTGTGTGCACTTATGCTTATGTTTGTGTTGTTGTGTGTCCACAGTGGAAGTCGCTGTCCAAAGAGGAGCAGACAAAATATTATGAACGTGCAGATTTTGAGAGGCAGCTTCACAATCAGCTCTTCCCTGAGTGGTCAAACAGTGACAATTACGTATGTACTGTGCACTATGCTCATATACAGCTCATACATGTTCATATCATTTTACACTCAATGATGCAACACGTTCACTGCAGCTGATATCATATGGGCAGTCTGACATGATTTTCTTTGTGTACAGGGCAAAAAGAGGAGGAGGATACGCAGGAAGTGCCTGAGCACGGCTGAAAAGTTAGCGATTTGAACTCTACAGGGAGTGAGAATCATCTCAGCTGTGCTCCCTTGATACCTTTTGTAAATTAACTTTTCAATAAATTAAATAAATAATGAAACGATTTCCTCCAGTCTCATTCTGATCCAAGTCATCAAGGTTATATCACAAGCACATCAAGTCACATATATATAAAACAAATTAATGCAAGGAGTAAAAGAACTACATTAATCACTTCTGCCTTTCAGTAGGTGGCAGAGTGAAAATAACTTTCAGTCCTATAAACCACAATGTAAACAAAGCACTATTTGAGTGAAGATGTTTCAAAAGGGCTCAACATGCTGCACTGCAGAAGAAGGAATCCATTAAAATTCCGCTTCATGCTTAGGTTTATTGTGCATTTTCAAGTTCATCATTCCACCAGTATTTGTGACATTACATCATCCCACAGTGAACCTTTCACTCATCACTGGGCCAGATCTGGATCCTCTTAGCTCAATGAAAGCCAGAAGAGGGAGGAGTGAGCGCTGTGATTGGTTAGACTGTTTAATAAACTGACTAGATGTGCAGTCGAACAGAGGCAGAGAGGAAGTGCCTGCAGGCGCTGGGTAGAATGTAAACAACAGCAGTTATTAGAGAAATTGTCACAATAACTTCCACATTACTCTGCCTGAGTAATGTGTGTGTGTGTGTGTGTGTGTGTGTGTGTGTATGCTACTTAATAAAATTTGTTCACACACCTTCAATATGGGACTCACTTCCCATTTAATTTAAAAACTGGTCCTCACAAGGCAAAAAAACATCAAATTTGGGGATACCATTTTATTTTAGGTTTGGCTAAGGAGAAGTCAGAAAGGTCTCCAGGGAATTAATTCAAGTCAATGCAAGTGAGTGTGCGTGTGTGAGTTAATGTTTCTGAGCAGACATGCCAGCTCCCCTGCATTTGTGAGTTAACAATCAGCCTGCATCAGTGCGTTTGTGTGTGTGTGTATGTGTGGTGAGTTCTGGGTCACAATAACAGCTGGGGGCTCACTGCCCAGACAGTCAAATGTGATTGGCCGTTTTTTTCTAGCGGCTGTGTTCATATTGGCTGAGATATTACTACAGTATCCATAGTAATAAAACTGGAAACAGAAACAAGCTTTGCATGTGTTTTTGTTTTGAATTAGGGTTTGTTTGTTTGTTTGTTTGTTTGTGTGGCCAAGCCCACAAATTATGGTGGGTGTAATACATACACATGAGTTTTTGTTCATGCGTGCAGATAAATTCTACATTTACTATATTCAGTATTTGATATTCTTCATATAGTTGTACATGTTTTTGTGTAAAATATAAAGAAGATATGTACATAGTTCTGTGTTTTAGGTTTGTATTCCATGATAAATATGTGTTTCTGTATCTTTATGTGCGCTTGCTTCCAGACTGATTAGACTGTTAATCTTTGAGGGGTCCAGTAATTAGGACACCAAGTGAGTGGGGGGCAGTCTCCTCCAACATGCACACACACACACACACACACACACACGAACCTTCTCTCTTCTCAAAAACACAGACCCAAGTAACAGGCGGGAATGGGTCAGGGACCGCCCCCAAAATATTCAGTCAAGGGGAAAAAAGAGCCGAGACAAGAAAAGAAAAAGCATCATCAATATGAAAACACCAGCAACACTGGACACCGAAACTGACTTATATACATCACTATCAAATAGAGTCCGTATTTATATTTTTTAAGAATAATATAATAAAAAGAAGAAAAAATAAAGACGGATTAAGATTTCGTCTACACACATAGATGTTTCCTGTCCCACAACATTGCTCTTACTCCATTTACCAAGGTTTTCCTGAAGCAGCTCCCTATCACAGTTAGTGAAGAGAAAAGGAAAAGACAAGTGACTTTTTTAAAAAATGTATCTAAATTTTCCCTCAAAAGGGAAAACAATTAAAATCTTCTGATAGATAACAATGATTAATAATAACTTTAAATTATATCGAACCTATCAAGAGACCAAAGGAAGCTGAAAATGAAAAATAAAAGAGCTACATGACACAAAATAAAGCCAATATCTGATTGCATTTCTTTTTTTATCTCCGTTTAGGGTTGAACAGAACAGAATGTGGAGGATTAGCACAGAGAGAGACATTTTTAGTTAGTCTGCCATCAGTCTATACTGTATGTCAAGCAAAAACATACACACCCCCACACACGCACAAATGTAGTCAGCCATGAAACTAGACGTTGAGTTGCACTTGATAGGATGACAACATTTTGTTAGCGATGTAGCTACAACTTAAATGTTCTAAATGGCTCCATCATCATTACCTCACACACCCCTCTGCAGAAGGTTGCTGGTAACTTGATGGAGGCTACAAATTCTAAATTGTGAAAAAAAATTTCATTTAGCATCAATGTACCGAATGTTTACAATGAAATGGGAAAGGTTCTGCTCCTATAATGACAACTGGAAGCACATGGAACTATGCAAACAAACACACCTAAATGCTTCATATTAAATGACTCACAGAGTTTCATGTTTTATGTTTGGTGGGTTTTCAAGTGTCACAAATACAAAATCAATTCATCAATTTACAAATGTCTCCCTCTTTCCTAGACTACCAGGGTGTGAACACTGACACTGTTGTTGTTTTAGGGTCCAGCGGGTGTTAAGCGCAAAGGAAGGACACTCACACACACATACACACGAAATCCCAAAAGGCCTGTGCCAGCAAGTGAGAAACACTGACAACCGCACGTGTTGTGTTAGTAACCTCAGCCCTATGTGTGTGTGTTAGTAAGAGTGTGTGTCTCTCACAGGGGAACAGGGCTCAGGACTCAATTAAGCAGGCATGTGTGGAATGCTTTCAGGGGGAACGGGACAAGATGGCTGTGGGGCCAACACTGTGCGCCCTTCTGTCTCACTCGCCCTTGATCTCAATTGGTCTCGCTTTGGCTGACCCATGGCGGCGTGAAGGGGAGCCATGTCAGCCACACACACATCTACACACACACAAAGTGCCATGAAGGGGAGAGATGTCTCGCCTGGACAGTCTAAGGGGCTCTCAAGGGTCCTCAGCTGCGTCTCGTGTCGCTCTCTCTGCGTCTCCCATGACACCAGGGAAATAAATGGGGCTTGGTCACCTAATGAAGCATGCTGACTTGTCTATGAGTAGCTTGTAATACAGTCACTAATAACCCATTTGTAAAGGTGAAACCCTGCTAAAATCTTGTCCTGTTCATTTTTAAATCTGTCCACGTGTAAGGGTCATTTACAGAGATAATGTGCCTCTTGAGAGTCATGGAAAATATAGACTCTGTAGTGGAGTATCACACTGAGTGAAAACAATGGCACAGAGCCCACTGGTGGCTGAATAGCGTGTGCTACATAACTGCAACGTGCACGGTTTGACTCTGATTGTGCACCTTTGTTGCATTTACTCTCTCCAAGTTTCCTGTCTGAGTCTTAACTGCTAACTATCGCATGAAGGCAAAATCACCAAATACACCCAGTGTTTCAGTGCCTCTCTTGTTGTCAGGTGAAATATTCAAATTCAAAGCCGAAATGCACATCTTTGGCAGCAACATTGATTAAAATCCATTTACCAGTTTTGAAGATTTCGTAGCGCAGCGAGAAGCCTGCCCCCTGGTGGGCATAGTCCGATACGAACTTGATGTGGAGCGAGGGGCCTGAGGATATGATTGGTGCGGGGGCGATGTTGCTGCAGTGCTTCCCCAGTAGGTCTGCTGACTCTGAGTTTCCATCGTGGATCTCTACGTAGTCATACCTGCAGAAGAAAAACAAATATTTAAGAATAATGTCTTTCTTAGCTACATATCTAGAACGATTATATAAATCTGACTGAAATTCAACACCTACACTTTATACAGTCTTCATGAACCAACATTAAATGAATGAACGAGAGGAAATTCTAATTTGAGTTTTTGAAATTGTTAAATCCTCTCCAGCTGCTTTGATTCTGATGTTATTTGTCTTTTTCTTTATTCGTTTTCTTTTTCATCTGGCAGGCATTGCACTGGATTTGGCTACAAAAAGGGAAGCAATGAGCAAATTGTTTGCATCTATCAGTGTCTCGAGGGACTTCTGAAAGCAGAGTTCTTATCAGCAGAGGCATGGGTGTCATTACAATTCAAATGAGTTGCAGCAGCAGACATCGACAGTGTACAGATGGCGTAGGAGGACAAGAACCACCTGCAGAAGGCAGCATAGAAAGTGAAACCCTCTTTTGTAAAGTTCTGTAAATGCACTGTAATTGAGAGATTATATACTCGAGCTGCAATAAGCTTTCATGGCATACAGAACACTATTTTATGGATTACACTGCTGCAAATATAAAATGGCACGCTCCCTTTCAGCTTGCATGAGAAAAAAGTGGTGTCACATGTGCAGCAGTGAAAAAGAGCCAAAGAAAACCGATAACTAATCTCACACAACTTCGCTTCCTCATTATCTACCTGCTGTTCTAAAAGAAAATCGTTGTTGGGTCATATCTGTAAGGCAACAGAATGCAGTGCTTAAAAAAGATTAGCGTAACAAGTCTTATAAATGTAAATGTAGAAACAAAAAATGTTGTATATCCTTTACTACAAGGTCAAAGTCAAGAGTGTATCTAGTGGTGGAGCTGTTTGAACTAGTTATGAACCCTAAAACTTGTGATGTGGAACAAATTATTTTAGTTTACATGTCTGCTCTGGTCTATATCAACAATGGTTGGAACTCAGCCTGGGATTCACATCTTCACACATTTTAAAATGGATTTAGGATGGTTCAGCCTTTTCCTGGTTCCATGTTTCTTAGAAAGAAACTATGTTCATCCATCATCCATAATTCATGATGAAAATGATTAAATGATGGAATAGACCTCAGCAGGTCCAATCTAAATGATCATATACGTCGCTTGTCCATATATATAAATATATCACTGCACTTTAATAAAACAGTATCTTTAATCTTGTTTTGAAACATTTTTTAAAAGTTTTTAATGTTTTAACTTTTCTATAAAGCACATTGAATGACCTCTGTGTATGATAATGCATTATACAAATACATTTGCTTGCCTATATATATATGTCATCGCACATATATTACACTTGCTGAACATCAAACCTCAGTAAAAAAAAAAGTGAACCAGTGACTGTTCTTTCTTTAAAAGGAAGGTAAAGTCTTCAGTCTATTTTTATTCCTGTTTCTTTCATGTTTTCTGACCTCAAATGTTTGGACCTATCTCCAGAGCCACAGCAGGAGTGTTGCCTCTGTGTCTGGATACCAAAGACCCACCTGCCTGCCTCTAAAATAGCTTCCTAGAAATAAATTCCTTGAGCAGCAAGGAGGATGTGACGTTTGATTCCAAGTTAAATTAGTTCAATTTCAACTAGGGGGCAAGGCGAAAACCACGGACGGACTCTGAATCAATCCCTTCTTGTCACAGAACTGTGAATTGCTCTGATACTGAGCTTTCTACATTTCTTTAAAATAACTATTTGTCTCTTCCATACAGAAGTGTGCTTTGGGTGCAACATTAATTTACTTTTTAAAAATGTATCATACATAAGCCAGTGACAGAGGACCACCCTGTGCTTCAACAGATGAAGGTATCATGTACCGCGAGGTGATAAAAGTGAAGCACATGGTATTTTGCTGCTATTGCACACATTAAAGATACATGAACATATAAAAGGGGTGTTAATCTTTTCACTATTTGTAAGCATGCATCCAGAGTTATGCCGAACCCAGAAGCCAAAATACACACACACGCGTGCGCGATGCACTGTTTTTTTTTTCACTTACGAGGAAATCACATTGACTTATAATCATGTCATGGAGAGGATCTCAACCCCAGCCGTTAATCTTGACACAAACAAACAAGTCTGAACCCTATAGTTAGTGGTTTGACAAGTGGGGACCAGCTATTTGCCAAAAATCCAAATGATATCAACTGTATTTTAAGGAAATGTGTTTAGTTGCAATGTCAAGGAGAGGTTCTACACTGGCCCCAAACCTGTGTGATAGTTATATATCTGATTTGCGGTGTTGGTGTTACCATTGAAATGTTGGCCACAAATGCGACAATCATGTCAGCTGCGATCAGATTGTTGGGGGTTAAATAACATTTGGCCCAGATCTTACACCTCTTGTCTTGTGTGACATAAAACACAGACAACAGGAGTGTATTCGCTGACTACTGAGCCCAGTAGTAGCTTTACAAACTGCTGCCAAGTACACAGATGAGCCTGTTAGTGTCTTCATATCAGCGAGTGTGTTTTACTCTGACAGGTGAGAATGCTCCCAACATAATGAGGGTTGTACGACACCAACTCTCCCATCATGTTTTCTGTCTGCTTTGCGTGGAAACTATCACCACAATTATGACCCAAGCTGTCACAGCGCTGCAAGCATGTGTGTGTGTGTGTGTGTGTGTGCGCGTGTACGTGCCACAGTTCTTGTCATATTTTCCCAAGAGAACACCTCGTCCCAGCAACAGATTCCTCCTCCTTTCCGAAATGACAACTTTGTTTAACGGCTTTTGGTATCCGGACAAGATCTTTCTCCTCCTGGCTCACTCCTCCTATAATTATTTCTGTGTTTCACTTCTCATCACTTTCCCTTTTTTTCTATCATTCTTTGTCTTCCTCCCTTTCTCTCTCTCTCTCTCTCTCTCTCTCCCTCTGCCCGCTTTCCATCTGTAGCTCTCTCTAATGTGCTGTCGGGCACATAACCAGTGGCCAGGAGCCAGTGTGTGGGAGACACAGAGGAGGAGGTTGGGGGAGAGAGAGTTTTTGAACATTTGAGTTTAAAACTGAGAAGGAGAGAGTGAGAAAGACAGACAGATGATAGATCCATTCTTAATACATTTGAAAACACTTCCAGCTCTAATCATAGTGTTTGCTGTATTTCCTTTTGTGATTTGATCAGAGCTCACACTGCTACCTGTTAACCAGGCAGGTAGTTAGGCTACATCCATACTAGGGAATGTCGGGATTAACCGGTTTTACGTTCACCGCGGTTTGATAACGTCATGATATCATAACTGTAAGAATTGTAAAAACGACGATATCTAACTATGGTGTCCTGCCTCTCGCGAGTCAAGTCATTTGTGTGTGTGCAGCGCGGTGAAATCTCTCACGAGTCACGTTTTGAGTGCGCGAGCCACTGAAACGTTAGTTGAGAAGAGAGAACTGACTCAATAGCCTTATTTCCACCAACACTGGACAAAGAACTTCATGAGGGTGTTCACAGGGAGAGGAGGAAAACTTGTTTACTTTTGGTTTCTGGCCAGCGGTGTGGGTGTATCAGGAGCGGCTGACACACAATTGTGTCCAGCAGGACGTACATGATTTTACACAGCACACTCCTGCCCAGTGTATTCAAAAAGTCACGTGATATGCATTTTCAGGCTTGTTAGTATGGACGAGGAATGAAACTGATAAAAAGCCAAAACGCTTGAGTGGACTGAACACTATTTTCACACTAAAACAAAGCAGTACGGCTGTAGCCTTATTCTCAGGGTGCTGCTCGACAGTATCAATCATATCATCATTTTATGATCCCAAATAAACAAACACAATAAATATAAAGACAGGCTAACAGCAGCAGCTGTGCAGTGTGACTGGCCTTGTTAGCATTAAAAGTGACTGATCATAGAGCGGGTTAGAGCCAAGAGAAATTTGGCTGCGGTACTTTACACAGTTACACACCTCTTGACTGTGTCAGTGCAGCCTGACACGGTCACTGTAAAAAACCCAGACCTGGCAGCTTTTATCCACTTTGGAGAGCGTTTGAGAAAAGCGCTCTTTCGTCAGGTGAAGACAAAACGAAGCCAAAATCGGTCGCAGCGTTGACGCCGTCACAGAGAGAACATGACACTGCACTCGCTCTGCCAACACCTCCCCTCAGACAGACAGAGACAGGTGTCCCTCCATCTCTCCCCACAGCCCTGCAGCTTGCTCTAAGTCATCTCACACACTCACACACACAAGACACCTGCACAAACACACACACACTATCTGTCTCTCACGTAAACTACACTGATGCACACTCGGAGCCTGCGGCCATGGACTCAGATGGATGTATAGGAGGGTTTGAGGCTCCCAATCTGTCGCTGTGTAGGAAGAACACAGCTTCTAACAAACTGTTTAATCCCATCATCTGTCTCTCTCTCCTCTCCCCCAATATATTTCACTGCAGCCAATCAGTGATCTGCCCTGGCTTGCCACGGGGAGGTACAAAAACCCTGAACTTGTTTCTCCCACACTTTCCCCCAAAATACGCCTTTTAACAAGCTGTGTACAGGATTTTATTTTTCCATGCTTGCATTAAGGGAAATGATGATCAAATAAAATGGTTGTTCCAAAGCCTGCAACATAGAAGGTTAAGGACATACAGAAGGATAAGCGTTCATGGTGGATTGCAGTCATGGGTTTGTGTTGAGTAGTGGAAGTGGACCAGTAGCCAAGCAGACATGTGGAAGTCAAAGATCTGACATGAGATTTATGGTTGTGTGTTTTGGGGGTAGGTAGGTTTCAGGAGCGAGACGGCTCTCCAAAGTCTTTTCTGATGTGAACCACGGAGAAGGTTGAGATACACACACTCCTCCTCCTCCTCCTCTCTGCCTGGTTCTTAATTGCCTTTCACACGTCCTCTCTCTCTTTAGGTCAGAGAGGAGTTGTCTTCTTACACCTGCACATTTCTTTCAAACATCGGGGGTGCCCTGAGCCGCAGACAGAGCGTCTGCACTGTAGACACACACGTGGAAACACAAACACACAC